GAAGCAGCAGTCAAGAAATCAAATGACATATTGCATTAGGCAAATATTTTGCACAAGACCTCTTCAAAGTGTTGAAGAACAAAGATGTCAGCTTGAGGATTAAGATGCACTTGACCCATACCATGATATTTTCAATAACCTCATATGCATGCAAAAGTTGGACAGTGAATAAGGAAAACTAAAAGAATCGATTTGAGTTATAGTGCTAGAGAAGAATATTAAACGTACCATGAACTTCCTAAAGAACAAACCAATCTATGTTAGACGTACAATCAGAATGCTTCCTGGAAGCCAGGGTGAACAGACTTCATCTCTCACACTTGGGATGTATTATCAGGAGGGACCAGTCCCTAGAGAAGGATATCATGTTTGGTAAAAAGGAAGGTTGGGGAAAAACGAGGAAGACCCTCAATGTGATGCATTGGTAGCGAAGGGCTCAAATTAAACAGCGATTGTGAACTTGGTGCAGGTCCCGGCAGTGTTTTGTTCTATTGTGCATAGTGTTGCTATGAGTTGGCAGAGATTCATTGGCATCGAACAAGAAGCAGCAAGGTTTATGTGCGTAGATAGAGTTTTGGCAGATGACCCAAACTCTAATCAATTTCATCAGCGCACTAAATATTACATTTGAGGGGATCTTTGGATCTACCAGCAAAGTTGTAAACTGCCACAGTGGCTATTCAATGTACAATACCCTAGAGTGAAGATGTTGATTGCTTTTAATTATAGAAAACGGAGGAGGAGGACATGATGCAAAGAGAAGGGAGCTCTGGGCAAGCAGGTCAGGAAAGTGCACATCAGGAGCAAACTGCCACCAGCCTATAATGTTGCAGATGAACCTCTCAAAATTCAGTCAAAGGGGCTGCTGATGACAACGCAATGCCTAAACTAAGCTCACCAACCTCTTCCTCCTATTGAAGACTGTGCTTTTATTCCTTCTCTTCTGGTTCCTTTTGCCTGGGAAACACTGCCTACGAACCACTGTGATATTTGCTTATTCTGACATTTCCCCCTATTCAACAACCATGGATGAGCAAATTCATGTGACAGAGACATGTTATTCGGCAGAACCCATTCTGCAAGTACACATCAGCACCACTGAGAATAGACTGTCCAAGTCAGGGCCATTGGTGGACAGCTTGGGCCCACACTGAGAAAAAGTGAGGCAGAGATGCAGCTTTTTTTTTTTTTTTTTAAACTTTTTTTTATTACACAGTAAAGAATACAACAATACCTGAATCATACTTTAAAGATTCACAGGTTGACAGACCATACATTACAGTCCAACTAAGGAAAAAAGGATAAACAAGAAACCACAGTTCAGACATAGTAGACTTAAAAGCTCAAGAGTATGCTGACAAAAGCATGATGCCTAGACCCCACCCCCCAGTGTTAGTCTACCATTATTAACTTGTGGTACATGTCTGAATTCAGTATTGCACAACAACTTTAATTTTTCACAATAATGTCGCAGAACCCAAAATAATATTTAAAAAAAATTACTTCAAATCTGCATTTCAACAGTCTCCAATTTTTTTTTTTCTGTCCCTTGAGGAATTCGGACAACATGGAGTTGCTTTCTTTCCCTAAGTATTCCAGACGTAGGCATGCTTTGCATAAGTAAACCAGCCTTGAAATTTTTAAATCCCCAAGACATGCACCTACACCAAAAAAAAATTTTAAAGTTAAGAAAAAAATTAAAAGGACAGGTGGTCCTGTCACACACAGTCTCATGACAGAGAAAAAGAGAAAGAGAAAAAGAGTAAGAGACAGAGATAAGAGATAGAGGACGCCCTATTCCTATCAGCGACCATTCAATTCTATCCAATGAAGATAACTTTGTTTTTAAATGTGTTATACCTACAAATTATACTCTCACATAGCCTGTATATAAGTGACAAGCAAAAAAGGAAAGTAACAAAAGTTTTCTTTTCTTTCTCTTCTTTAGTTTTATGAGGTCTGCATTGTTACCAAGAAGTGATATGGTTTGCAGCTGTATGAGCTTAACTTTTGGTATCCTGGTTCTTTTGTGCCCATTTGGTTTGACTAGACCAGTTTTTGTTAGCTACTGGTGCAATATACATGCTGTCAGAGGTAGAGTGAAACTTTTTGCCACTGAGGAGAATGTAGCAAAACAGGAGGAGAGGAAAAGGAGGAGGAAGAGGGGAAGGAGGAAGAGGAATCAGAGATAGAGCTCAGAGTTAGGGATTTTTTTGTATTTGTTTTCACTCAGGGTGCCCTGAATTAAAAGTAATGAGACGTACTGTACTAATCCTTATTTTACACACTAGTGTTAAGAATAACAGTGCTGTTTCACATACATCACAGCTTCTAGAGATAAAGACGTGGGTATGACATACCTCATTTTTGGGATTATTTAACCCTTCGTAGCCTAGAACATATAATAGCTCTGTAAGAAAGGACTGTCCAGTGTCACAAGCAGACTAGAAAGCAGAGTGAGGTCAAAGGATTCTGGGAGCACCATGATATAACCCATTCAGAGCCTGGTTATGTGCTTTCGTTTCACTTTAAGCAGGTGTGCTGGCAGATGGACTTCCAACATGCAGATAGATGTATTTGTTTGCTCATCAGAACTTTCTAAACTAAAAAGCCATTAGAAAAATATAACACCACCCAAACAAAATGAAAACCAACTTGTATATGAAAATACTGGAGGAAAAAAAATAAAAGGACTAAAATGCTGGATTTCAGAGACATGAAACAAACCAATTTAGGAAAGCCTCTATGCAGATACTTAACAAGCCATTTAAAACGGTATCCAAGGGCTACATTAAAAAACCCCAAAAGCTAATGGATCGTTTTTCAATTTTTTAAAACCAATGCCTGGTGTTGATGTATGTGGAGAAGTGTCTTCCCAGCCTTGAAAACTTTGGTTGTCTACACAGCCTGCAGCACTGCCAACTTTCCTAAAGCACACAACCACATCCTGGGCTACTGTGTTCAAAACTAACAAGTAGTTCTGGTCTGGACCCTGGACAACGAAGGGTTAATGGATTCACACTATACCTTTGCTGGACATGTTTAACCTGCTGATCATTTGGAAAGTAATAACTGGTGCTTTTCAAAATTCTGATTTTGGTCCATCAGATCAGTCTTTGGCTGACTTCCCTTTTTGTAAGAATACTGTATAACCTGGCATTCAGCAGTGTTAAAGCTGTCGATCGTGTTACACCGCAGCATTTGGAGCTCTAATGATTTATCTTTTTTTTTTCCTTTTTTTTTTTTGTAAAATTAGAAATACTTAAACGACCTTACAGCAATATGCATGC